CTTCCATTCTTATTCAGGCTGGCTGTCTACCCTTAATGGAAGAGCAGTAACGTGGAAAAGCTCCAAGCAAGAGACTGTAGCTGATTCAACATGTGAATCAGAGTATATAGCTGCGAGCGAAGCATTAAAGGAGGCTATATGGTTGAAGAATTTCATTTGTGACCTTGGAGTTGTGCCAGCCATTAAGGAGCCGATGAAGATTTTTTGCCATAATGAAGGAACGGTTACCTTGAACAAGGAACCAAAAGATCATGGAAGATCTAGGCATATCGACATAAAATATCATTTTACCAGACATTGAGTAGAAGAAGGACACCTCATCGTTAAGAGGGTTATCATCATAAGAAAATCATGTCGATCCCCTCACAAAGGGTCTTAGTAGGATTAAGCACATTCAGCATGCAATGAACATTAATTTGAAGGATGATATTAATTTTAGTGATCAGATAGATATTTAGAAACTTATAATAAACAAATTTAATTGACATTTGATGATTAAGTAATGGAGATTTATTTATGAGTATTATATACTATCTTTTGTAAATTGTTTATCTTGTGTTTCATCTTTGTGTGTTTTACTTCCCAAACAATTGGATTATTCAAAACATCCACAGTCGATCATACATTGGAGTAAGTTGTGAATCAAGACTGTCGTGAATTGGACTGTAGATCGTCTAAGGGTTTAGACATAGCAATGGTTTGCTGCAACGTTCACGAGTGCTTTTGAAATGGGGATTTGAGTATAAGATTAAACTCACGCTCATAGAATTACTTCATGGAATTTATCACGAGTAATTATGAAACGATTATATATGAGTTGTTTACGAGTTGGTTGTACATTGGTAATATGTAAACGCATTAGTAACTTGATGTTATAAAACGTATTGTTATGTACGATTTGATGAGTAAATAGTACCATCATATAAGTCAAAGTTTATCTGTTCCTTTTGCCCTAACAGGAAAAACAATATCTTGGGCCCCTCGATGGTTTGGTGTTTACTTATGTGTCGGGTCCGGTAAGGACTGAATTAATGTGTTCAATTAAGTTCTATGTCATTACAAAATCAGAAATCGGGAAACAAAGTGTTGGACAATGAGAATGATTATGTTCCATGTCAGTTGTCCACATGATATCTTGCAGAATGGAGGATTATATGATCCCTTATCTTAGGGCACTTGAGATTATCGTAACCAAAAATCACTATTTGAGAATTTGGCGTGAAATTGCTTGGTTTTCAAGATTTCCAATACTTCTCATAGATTTTTCTCATGTTCTTTTCTAGCCGTTGAATAATTAAGAATATCATCAATGAATATGATAACCAAGCTTTTGAGAAATGGCTTAGTTCAGTAAATCCATAAACACAGAAAGAGCATTTGTAAGACCGAATGCCATCACCAAAAATGCGTAGTTACCATAACGGTTTTCGAATGCCATCATTAGATGTCACTATTTTTTATGTGGACTTGGTGATAACTAGAATAAAGATCAAATTTTGAAAATTAAGCAAGCCCTTGAAGTTGATTGAATAGATCATCAATCCATGGTAACGGGTACCGATTATTGATCATGATTTTTTTGAGCTCGCCATAATCGATGCACATTCACATCTAAATGATGATTTTTTGAGCTCGCCATACTGGTGCACCCGCATGATGTAGAAGTCGGACAGATAAAGCCTTTGTCGAGTAATTCTTGGAGTTGGGACATTAACTCACGCATCTCCATATGAGCAAAATGTCGAGAGAGATATACAAGTAGCGACCAATATCAAATTAATTTGAAATTCAACTTTCCTTTCAGGCGACAAGCATGGTAAATTGTTAGAAAAACCCAGGAAAGTCTAATTATTCCGCCCCTTGCTATAAAAATCTTAAAATTTAGTGTATTTTTGTTTGTTAAAAGTGTACATGTTGATTGTTATTTATTTACATTTATCCATTATTAGTTAATTTTGTAATTTGTAAATTAATATTAAACGATAATTATAAATCTTAATAAATAGCTAAAGTAAAGTTAATAGACAATTCTAGAAGACTTAGATATCGATAGTTGTATTTTGATTGTAGATATAATTTTTTTTTTTTTTTTTTTTTTATAATTCCTTACTATAGTTCAGAGAGCATGATACTAATAAATTATTAGAAGAGCTTCATCTGTTTTATATTGTAGATATAAAAATATTTTTTATAATTCCTTACTATAGTTCAAAGAGCATGATATGGATAAATTATTAGAATATCTTCATCTATCAAAAGGATTTCCGATGACTCCTCAGTTGGTCGTTGTCAATTACGAACATGTTTTTTTAACGTTGTGAGCTTACGAACTTTCGATGTATGTATGTGCATGTTCGTTTAATGTTCCAGATTGAGTTGACAATTTTTATATTTGTAATCACTCAACGATATTTTATCTTTTTTAACTACATGTTTACTTAATCCATTAGATTTAATTGATGCTTTTTGGAGAAAGCTTGGTTTGGATCCTCTATATATGTAATGTGGGGATGTTAATTTTGATCATGATCTGCAAAGGTTTATGTAACGTATTTAGACTTTTAGCTTTGTTTATATTAATTTTGCATTTTTGGTTCCAAACACCAGGCATTAGCGTTTAAGGGTTGGACGCAGCTTCCCATACGAATGCCAGGAGTTTGTATGTTGACACCAGGTGTCCGCACGCTAAGGGAAAACCCTAATTTTAAGGGTTTGCACCCTATTTAAAGGACATTAGAGCCTCAAGACCCTTCTTAACTCCAACCTCCATTTCTCTTAGCCCTCATTTTGATACCCTAAGTGTGTATGAGTGTTTTAAAGCTTTGGAGTGTCATTTTGGTGCCATTTTAGTGTTCTTGGTGGAGAAGGAAGACCCTTGCAGTGGTGGTGTTGCTCTTAAACTTTTGGATCTAGACTCTTTGCATCTTAGAACATCTTCTTGAATTATAAAGTTTAGATGTTGATGGATTCTTTGTAGGTCTTGGTTAAGCTTTTTTTATGCCCTTTTGTCCCAAGATCTTGATCGTTGTGAGTTTTGAACATTCCGGAGGATTGGGCTGTCATTTCAAGCATTTTAGAATATTTAGGATCATAAAAATGCAAGCTTGGACCATGCAATAGTTTTGGAGTTTTAGAGTATGATATGAGTTATGATCTTCATGTTGGGCTCTTTGTAGCCATGCAAAGTCATAAAGGTTGCAACTTTATGGCTTTAGATATTTTGTTACTTTTGGATTTAAAGTTTGGACGTTAGGTCTTAAGCCATTAAGATCTTAGTTTAGAATTTGGAACTAAGTGGTTTATGCTAGGCGTAAACATGAGAATGTAGGGTGTTGAGATTACAGGTGTCATATAGTGGACGCCAGGCGTTCTCTCAGTAGCCCATTGGACCGATTTTTGGGCCTTAGGCCACTTGGGTTTTGGGCTTCATTAGTTAGGTTATGTATGGACAGGGTAAAATGGTCTTTTGCCCTTAATTTGATGAAGGATGATTTGGACCATTGTTTATGGGTTATAACCCTAATTGTTAATTAGGGTTATTTTGGGATATGTTTAGAGCGAGGAGCTGTGTTAGCAGCAGCTCGAGTGTGTAATTCATTTATCTTCATTTAGAGGTGAGTCTCCTCATTATATGCATGGGTCAAAGGCACCAATATCGGCCCATTCTTAGATTGTATATATATATATATATATATATATATATATATATATATATATATATATATATATATTGTTGGCTGTTATGTGATATATATGTGTTTTGTGATCGTGTTGAAATACACCCCAGGGCGGGACCCACTATGATATGCCGGGTTGAAATACACCCTAGGGCAGGGCCCATTATGGCATGTTCAGGTTGAAATATACCCCAAGGCGGGGTCCATAATTGTTTATTGGGTTGAAATATACCCCAGGGCGGGGCCCAACTGTATGTTTGGTATGTGGTACTCTAGATGAACTGACTAAGCCTTTTGCTTACAATTGTGTTTATGGTTTCAGGTACTTCTAGTACTAAAGGGAAGGGTCCGACGTGATAACACAGCATCCTCTCCTCATGTTTTTCGCACCTTTTTGGATATTATTACTCTAATGATTTGACATTGTATCTTGTGAATGTTTTGGAACTATTTGATGTTTGAATCTCTTGGTTTTAAAATGAAAAATTTTATCATGATTCTTGGGATGTTATAGTTTAAAGAAATATTCAACAATCAACCGAATCATGGAAAATCTAGTTTTTATGAAAGTTGATGGGATAATGGATCCATCAAATTTTGTTATCAATAAACCTTAATTAAGAACAAAAACAGTCAGTATACCATGTTTAGCATCAAACTTAAGTTCCTCACAAATACAGTTCTTCATACTTGAATCATGAACCAAACTGACTAGGCATAGTTCATTAATCGTGAAATTGAATAGGGAACCAACTAGGCATAATTCATTCTTGATGGTCTCAAATAAGGAAGTAGTAAGACAATATTTATACTAGATGGACTTAAACGAGGAACGAATAGTCCAATGTTCTTACAAGATCGAGGAACCAATACGCCAATGCTCATGCTGGATTTGACTTGAATGGGGAACCACCCGTGGCACATACTTCATTATTGATGGTCTCCCTCCCCCCCCCCCCCCCCCCTCCACTCATATAAATGGTCGCATTAAGGGTGTACACAAACACCATATATTACATTTACATGGAGGGGGTATACAACACTGAGGGTCCGTATAGAAATTCCTTTTGTAAAACTCTTGTTTGGCTTTGCCTAGTTCCTTGCTAGATAGGTCCTTTCTTTCCCTAATAATATTTGCTGGTTTAAAAAAAAAAAAAAACTAAAACTAAATATAGTAAGTTATTTGTTGATAAAAATGGATGTTGGTCAGGTATATGTTTTAACCTTGTTTTAGATGTTGGTCAGCGGCCCAGCCGATATCAGTTTAAATAGATGAAAATTTTGCCGTTGACTTACTTTACATTCTTTTTAGATCCAGTTTCAATGACTTCAAGTTCTTCTCCTGGCGCTAATGGCAGCAGCTATGACGTTTTTCTAAGCTTTAGAGGCGAAGATACTCGTTATTCTTTTACCGATCATCTTTACAAAACATTAAAACGATCAGGAATTGATGTTTTTAGGGATAACGACGATATCAACAGGGGTGAAGAACTGAAGCCGGAGATCCAGAGAGCAATCAAAGAATCTAGGGCTTCAATAGTTGTGTTGTCAGAGAACTATGCAACTTCCTCTTGGTGCCTGGACGAGCTTATGTTGATCCTCCAACAAAAAAGGGAGCACAATCATTTCGTTCTACCTGTTTTTTATCACGTTGATCCTTCTGATGTGAGGAAACAAAATAAAACTTTTGCAATTGAAGTCAAAGCCTCTTCAAAGTGGACAGATCACAACGTGGACCTGTGGAAGAAAGCTCTTAAGGAGGTAGCTGATTTGGCCGGCATGGTTCTATCCGGGAATGCCATTGCTTCTCTTCTTGTAATTCAATCATTACTTAAATACAATTCAACTGATGCGACTTTGTCTAACAATTTGGCAATTATATATTAATCTTAACATGGAGCAAAATTTTGGTCTCTACCTGTGAATTTTTTGTTGATAAATGTGTCGATAACTTTAGCATATTATTATTTCTTTGATTGAGAAGTTTGGAAAATACTGCGATGATTTCATTGGTTATGTCAATAAGTCAACAGCTGAAAGCTTCTTGATGCATCATATACAAGTTTGACTCATGACTGGAGCCAAAGAGTTTTTTTTTTTTTTTTTTTCTAACTGGATAAAATTGCCCCCATTTATTTATGTTAAACCTAGAATTTTAATTCGAACTAATGGTATGGCATTATCAACATACCTGCTCATTTTCTTTATTCTTTTTGTAATTGCAGATCTGAAACAGACTTTATCGCAAACGTGGTTGATGCAATTGATTGTCAACTAGATATGAAACTAGTAAGTACTCCAGCTCATCTAATTGGAATGGACACTCGAGCTATAGGTATCGATTCTTGGTTGAAAAATGAGCAATCTGGTCCTAATGTTTTAGCAATTTGTGGCATGGGAGGCATCGGCAAAACGACACTGGCCCAATTCATTTATAACTCAAACAAGCAAGATTTTGAAAGCAGCACTTACCTTGAAGAGATTGGAAAGCACTCCAAACAGCCTTTCGGTTTGCTTGGGCTACAAAAACAACTTCTCACAGACATTTTAGGCGGAAGTAATGCCAGGATATCTAGTGTTTCTGAGGGTACAAGGAAGGTTGAGGAGGCCTTACAAGTGAAAAGGGTGCTTATTGTTCTTGATGACATTGATGGACATGAGGAATTAGGTGCTTTACTTGGAACAAATGCGTTCCATACAAAAAGTAAGATCATAATAACTACGAGACTTCTAGACATAAATGCATGGTTTGGGTCCATATCTTGGAGGTGCCAGGTTGAAAAACTTGAATTGTTGAATGATCATGAATCATTAGAGCTTTTAAGTTGCCATGCATTTGGATCTAAAATTCCCATGGAAGGTTTCAAGGAGCTCGCAGTTGAATTAACGAAGTATTGTGGTGGAAACCCACTAGCTCTTAAAGTACTGGGCTCTTCTCTATTTGTTGATTCTGAGGACCCAAGGAAACAAAGTAACATAATAGAGATTTGGGAAAGTACATTGAATTCACTTTATCCATTGAAAGGTGATCTTGACTGTAAAATCCAAGGTATACTACAAAAGAGCTTCGACTCCTTGCCACGAGCCAGTAACAAAGAGTTGTTTTTGCATATTGCTTTTTTCTTTATTGGTGAATATGAGGATTATGTGGTAAAGATATTGGAGCATGACTGGCATGCAAAATCTGGGATCATGACTCTAATTAACAAATGCCTTCTTACCGTATCACCAAGTAACAAACTGATAATGCATCAACTGCTTCAAGAGATGGCAAGAAGCATAGTCCTTCAAGAGTCCAAAGATCCTACAAAACGTAGTAGAGTCTCGCAAAATTATGAATCTTATCGTTTGTTGGGAAAAGGAAAGGTAATTAAGAGCTTTTATGTGTATCTTTAAATTTACTTGCCCTATCACAGCCTACCATGCTAAAAAGTGTCATCTTATTTCATGTCTTTCCTTAATAGGGTTCAGATTCAATTGAAGGTCTAGCACTTGACATGCGAAAGCTCGAGGAAGAGATGAGATCAGATGTAAGCCAAAGAAGTGAATTAATGTGGTTTATTAATAAATCAAGAGAATAATTACAGTTATTATCGTGATACATAATTGTCATACATCACTGTGAGTAGGAAACTTATGAATCCTAAAGATCTAATCTAGTCCTTATGACCTTACCAATTTGACCAACTTTCTAGTGAGTAAATAAATGAAATGAGAAACATGGAAATTCAAACAGGCTATTAGCTATTGCTTCAACTTGGAATGACATCTTCAATTAAGGTAGATGTCTTCCTAGTTCAACACTAAACAAGGAACTCTAAGCATTAACTTCTCATGTTTAGAACTTGAGCGTAATTACTATTTTTCTAACTCCCATGATGGTTGAGTAGTGTTAGATTTGTTGAATATGATCGGTAGATGAGCTGTATGACTGGTCGCTTCCCTTTGACATGCCATTGTGTGCAACTATAATCACTATGCTGTTTTCAACAGTAACTATGCATGTAAAGTTGCTCTAGAATTTGGGTTGTATCCGGGTTGAATTCCATCCTATAATTCTTTGGGAAAAATGTAAATATACCCTTAAATGTATATAAGTTTAGGTACCCAAACACACCATAATATGTCGTTTTGTTTGATATATTCATTATAATGTTTTCAAACTTCAACCCCTAACTTAATTTACTTTCAAGATTTTCGAAATTTCACTATTATCTTCCTCTTAAATTACATCTTTTTGCCAAACACCTACTAGTTAGAAGTAAATCGAAATTTCACTCATCTATGAGGCATACTAATTTATTCACTTAATGCTAAATTTGCAGCCATTAACCCTTAAAACTGGTTCACTTGCAAAGATGGACAAACTAAAATTGCTCCAGCTCAAATTTGTAGTACTCTCAGGGTCTTATAAGATCAATTTTCCAGAACTAAGATGGTTGTGCTGGCATGGATGTCCTTTAGAAACAATACCCTCCGGCTTATTGATGAGCAGCTTGGTGGCTATAGATATGAGTTATGGAAATTTGAAAAGGTTTGAACCTCCCAAGGTAGGAATAATTCTATGTCCAGTTTATCTTGGAAAATATTTGTGTAATGAACAATGATAAATTAATTAGGTTTTATTCTTGGAATAGGTTCTTAATTCACTGAAGATTCTAAATCTTAAAGAGTGTTATGAACTAGTCAGTATCCACAATCTTTCCCGACTTCCAAATCTTGAGAGTTTGATTCTCTGGAACTGTAGCAATCTTACTCATGTTTGTGAATCCATCGGAGGCCTTAAGAGTCTTGCTCTATTGGACTTTACAGGGTGCAAGTATCTTATGAAGACTTTAAAGAGCTACTTAAATCATGCACAACAGTTTCCAGGTGTATGCACTGATGCAGGAATTCAACAATCTCCGTTTTTATTACCAGACTCGCTAAAATTGTTGTTTCTCAATAACTGCAACCTTGTAAAAAACAATGATGTTCCAGTGGTTTCTAGTGACCAATCATTATTTTACATGAATTTAGGAAATAATCTATTGGAGGTCCTGCCCAATAGCCTTAATCTTAAAACTCTTCGGGTATTGGAATTGACTTTTTGTCCAATTCTCAAGTCCCTCCTATGTCTCCCAAGTACTCTAGAGGAGTTGTATACAAATTGGTGTTTTTCACTGGAGAAAATAACATTTGAATCAACCCGGTTCAGATTACGGGAATTTGTATATCGAGGTTGTAACAAAATCTCTGAAATTCAAGGCCTTTTCAAATTGGTGCCAATGGCAAAACATGATGAAGCCGATTTGGGTCATATGAAATGGATCAAAGCATATCAAGATTACTGGGTGGACCTAGTGGGTGATGAGATTACTAAAGGGAGAGACCTGCGTATGCGTATCCAGGTACTCTCTCTCTCTCTCTCTCTCTCTCTCTCTCTCTCTCTCTCTCCTGAATAAGCACACAAAAACACATCTATTCTGAGAAATTGGTTAGCATATGATTAAGTAGATATTTGTTCAATTTGTGTGGGCAGGTGTTGTATGAATATGGTATAATGAGCACATATCTGCCAGGCATAACGGATGAAAGCATGCCAATTCCTGATTATATGTCATCGATTCCGTTCTTATCCTTTCGTGTGCCTTCTACTGAAAAACATAGGATCCGAGGATTAAATGTAACCTGCTTATACAGACTATCAGGTGAGGATGAAGATATGTGGGTTTTGTTCATCAAAATAAGTAATATAACCAAGGGTCTTAATTGGATGTACAACCCTATGGTCTATTGCCAACCGAGATTTAATGAAGATGCTGTTTGGTTAAGCTATTGGCCAATTGGAAACATATTAGACTCAAGTGATGAAATCAATGTGTCCATTGTGGGGAATGGATTGATGGTAAGCGAGTGTAGTGCCAGCTTTGTTTACATAGATGATCGTGAAGAAGAGTTAGAATACTACAAAAGTTACAAGAAAGAGGAAGAAGTTATTGGAGGAGATCTATCTGAATTTGAGCTCACTACAGGAGCCTACTATCTTTGTCGTCGCGATTACTTGAAGATAACCACCCCTGATTGGTTAAAGGTGCTACTTGGTGATACCATTCCCTCTACAGGTACGATCCTCTTTCTGCTGATGGTTTTAGTCTACAAATAATGATAGGATCCTTACATCACACACTGTCATAGAGTTACAAGGATGGAGAAAGTCTCGTCAGACACAACACTTAAAAGCATCATTTATGGAGCTCAAAACTTTCAGACCCTACGCTATGCCTGGACTGAATGTATGTATATTTATTCTTTATCCATTCTTTTTGGCATGAATTACCATTAGTTGTCTGTGAATTTAAATAAGTTTGTTGCTTAAATCCCTCAACCAAACCCATTTCATAGAAATGAACATTTGAGGTATCCCATGCTACTGTGGAGGTTTTTGTTTATTATTAGAATAACTAGTAATTTCATCCCTGGACCATTCCTTAATGTGTAGTTTCGGTCAGTTGTTTTTTTTGAATGGTTGGTCCAAAATACCACTCTCTCCATATTTGGTCGATAAAACCTAAAAACCAACACGATCAGCTTATGACCATTGATCAGTCCATTTTCTGTGACAATGGCTTGTTTTAAGTGTATTTTGGTATATTTGACTTCTCCTTCTTCCATTCGTCTTTATCTTCAACCTTAATTCTACATTTTTGCACCTCATCCTCACTATGAAATCAATAGAAATCTCTTTAGTTTGCTTGTGGATGTAGCTTGACTACCCTGATTGTGTGAACCACGTAAATTCCTGTGTGTTCTATATTTTCTTCGCAACATAGATTGTGTGGGAATGAAACCCGTTACAATCTTCATAGTCCATAATCACATTTGTTGGATGAATTTGGGACCAGATTCAGGGCACTAGCTATCACCCACCATTTTGCAAGTTGGTTTTTGCCACTGTTTGAGTGTCTTATTTGTCTTTTCTTTGCTGGGATCCCTCCTTTTCTTTTCTAACGTTCCATTAGTAGTTCCTTTGAAGTTGCTATTTTTCTGCAACTGTGTTTTGTCTTCATTTGATTAAAGATTGTTGATGGTGACCTTTTTTACAGCATTGATTTGCTCCGAGCAACCTACGCATTTGTGATATCCCTTTTTTCATTTGCTTTCTTCGTAGAAGGGTTCTTCTAACTTAGTGGTAGTCCAAAAAGGACTTGGCTACTGTAATAGTGTCATGGTGAAGTTCAACATGTGCCTAATCTTCTAATTTTTCCTTAAAGTATAATAAGTTGTTTCAATTTGATAGCTTATCAACCTCGAGTATAATATTAGTGGAATCTTTTATATATTCAAAAAGTGTACCTTGTTGCCGTAGGTCTAATCTTTCCTCTTGCTTCTGAGCCTGCATTGTGAGTGTTGCTATAGTGTTGATTTGAATTCTTCGCTTATATCGATCACTCATATGCTTTTTGGATTGTCATCATGCTTCTTTCATTGCCAATCTTAGTGGCATCCTATCATACGTAACTCACATGTATAAACACCAGAAATGCTCCATAAACACTGGATCTATGTATGAAAATGCATCAAGCACAACCATATCTGACTACATCTGAGAAATTGGTACGTCTTTGGCTTTAAATCTATGAGGTTGATGACGTTTGGTGGCTTTTCAGACGATTTGAGGCGAGGAAGCTTGTTAGAAAACAAAAGGCTTTATGAAATCACATCTAAATGTCAGATCTTATTAGATCTATATGGATATGGTATGATGCGATCATCAATGATGGAGAAAAACTACATTAGAAATAGAAGAATAGGAGGAGGAGAAACTAATCAGATCCAGTGGTGGAACCACAATCAAGGCGTCGACTACCATGAAGTACATAATAACCACCATATCAACACCTAGAATACATCAAACACATTAGATTTGATGCAGATCTGGTGGTGTGTAAGTGGAGACCTAATAGAAAGAGATGGAGATGACCTAGAAGAGTTTCACCAGAGCTGCAAGACATTAATGATGGTGGCGGTTGAATGTAATGGTGGTGTTCATCAGTGTTAGAACTCAAACACATCATATCTGATACAGATCTAGTGGCTTTTCATCGGAGATCATCCAGAAAGAGATGGAAGCGAGTTTGTTGTGTTTCATCGGTGCTTCAACATCAATCTGATACGAGGAGGTGATGCTGCTTGTCATCGTCGTAGAGCAGAATCGAGAGGTGTAGGAGGTGGTGGCGGTTGGAAAATCACAGATCTGGAAGGTCTAGTGCAACATTAGTAGGAAAATCGATCATCTGAAGTTTAAAAATCGCAGATCTGGAGACCGTAGGAAAATCACAGATCTGGAGGTTGCCAGAAAAATATAAAGTTGGATGTCTAGAGTGGCGGAGGTGGTGGTAGAACAAACACAGTGGAGGGAGGTGAATGTGGTCTTCCGACGGTGGTTCTCTGATGGCGGCGGTGATGCGAGAAACGATGGTGCCGGAGACGATGCCACCCTCAGTAGGTGGTGGCGTTAACAGGGAATGTGTGTTCTTCAAAAATGGTGGGAGAGTTTGAAAGGATTTATAATTTGAAAAGATAGATCTGATTTTAAAATAAAGCATTTGTATGTTTTTTTATTGTTTATGTTAAATAGACAAAAATACCTTTAATCAAATGGTTCTGAAATGGTTCTTAACTTTTAGTGGCTCTCATTTGAACTTTTACCATATATATATATATATATATATATATATATATATATATATATATATATATATATATATATATATATATATATATATATATATATATATATATATATATATATATATATATATATATATATATGGGTTCTATAAAAATCAAATAAGTGAGGTTCTAAAGAACGAGATGGAGAATATGTATTATTATCTAGACTCTTAATGAATATGTATTCATATCAATTCATTGGTAGAATAAAGACTCATAAAAATTAATCATGTGGCAGGAACTAGATTTGGACCTGTAAGACGAGGATTTTTAGTCCTCTGCTCTACCAATTGAGATATCCCAACTATTCCTCATGTCTTATACTCATTTTCATTTTACTAAAGAATTTGGGTCTATGTGAATTCAAAAGGGTATTACAAACCCTCATCACGGAGCTATAATTTGTTAAAACAACAACTTTGTAAGTTTCAGTATGAATAAAAATATCGATCGTGAATCAGTCAAATGGGGATTCCTTGCTCAAAGATGTTCGTTTGTACATGTATCATATATAACACATGTGGTTTTACGGTCATTGTATAAAGATTAGTGGATGAGAAAGAGATAAGGAGTTTTGAACCCCTAACGAAAAAATGATAAAGAAAAAAAGGATATGATAAAGAGTTAGGGAGTCAAATGGTCTTTTTGGGAATTGAGGGACTTGAACCCTCACGTTTTTTGAAATCAACAGATTTTCCTCTTACTATAAATTTCATTGTTGCCGGTATTGACATGTAGAATGAGACTCTATCTTTATTCTCATTCGATTAATTAGTTCTTCAAAAGATCTATCAGATTATGGAGTGAATGGTTTGATTAATGAATATTTGATTCTTTCTTCAATATGGAATCAATTAACAACAATTCTTCTCTAGTATGTATACAGGTTTATCCTTCATCTTTTCTAAAGTTTCGATTGAAGGATTCCCCTATTAACGTAAAACAATCAACTCCATTCGGTAGAATAGCTTCCATCGAGTCTCTGCACCTATCCTTTTTTATTTTCGCATTCTGAACCATTGTTTGTTTTTGGAAAACATGATTTGGCTTAGGATTGCCCATTTTATTAACTCTACGGTTTCTCTAAATTTGAAAGTTATTACTTAGTAAGTTTCCATACCAAGGCTCAATCTAATTAAATTCGTAGCATCTATCGATTTCTCCATATCCCCCTTTTTGAGATGAAAATATCATTGTGATCTTGTTCCCCTTTTTCTTTCATTTATACCGAAACCGTTGAATTCATTAGATAGATGCCGATTCTTGTCTAGAAAAAGTGTTTTCTCCTCTTTGTCTTTGATTTCTTGTCTATCCTCTTTCATCTTCTATATCTATAGTAGGCTTATAATCGGTCCAATCAAAAACAATTTTATCATTTCTGTACCGGCAATTCAATATAGGTGGATACATACGCTATACGTCTGCCTCTCCTCCACTCATTTACCCATGAAATTTCGAATACTTGAACGGTAGATTCTTTTCATATTAAAAAAATATATTTAATTGTGATATATATATATATATATATATATATATCGCTAGATTAATCGTCATATTCTATAATATTAAATAGTTATTTGAAATTCTATATTCTATTCTTTAATATATTAATATTCATTATGAATAGAGAATATGAATAGCTAAGAATTAAAATAGTATAATAGTGAATATCAAAGATTCTAAGAGTTTATTGAATTCTTATACATATCAAATTTATGTTACGTGAGTCTGCTTAGCTTTGATGTTACAGCATCGCATTTGTAATGCAATGGTCATCGGTTCGATTCTGATAGTTGGTTTTTCTCTATTTATTTTACTTTATGTTTTACGTGATTGATGATGCATCGTTGAAATCAAAGAATATTGGAAAAAATTTGTTCACCTCTTTCGGCAAAAACCCTTGATTTATTATGTGATAGGAATTTTCAACTATCTAACGAAAAAAAATCATTTTCTTTTTCTATAGATAGAATATAAAGATCTGGACATTTATCCAACTCATGTCATTATTCTTTAATAGAATAACCAATTAAATTTCTCTTTATTTAGAATTTAGTTCATTTTTAGTTTAGGTTTATTCTGTAGAATGAAACTTCATCAATAAGAATTAATAATTAAATATTAATAAGGAGCCTTCATGTCGTGTTACCAAGGTCCTTGTTTCAAACGCCACCTTGGGGCTTTACCAGGGTTTACTAACAAAAGGCCCAAAGCTGGAAGTGATCTTAGAAACCAATCGCGTTCATGAAAAAAATCTCAATATCGAATTTGCCTAGAAGAAAACCAAAAATTGTTTTTTGATTATGGTCTTACAGACGACAATTACTAAATACGTTCGTATCGATGGAAAGGCAAAAGGGTCAACAGGTCAGGTTTTACTACAATTACTTGAAATGCGCCTTGATAACATTCTTTTTGCTTGGGTATGGC